AGCCTATACAGCTTGGAGTAAGACAACATGCATGAAGAGGATGATGTGGACAAAATACTCATTTGCCTAATAATTCTGCACTCCCTGTAGATGAATCACTGAAGTTACCTGCATTGCATGGATTAGATGCAATGCAATGTTTTAGCCTATGTATGTAATGCACCTATACGTGGTGCAGTTACATATGACACTCATATCCTTGCTTATCAGTCAAGGCATCATCATGTTTCTGTGCTCTTTAATTTTGACCAACTGACTAATGTTTTTAAGGGAATTAAAATGCTTTATGTTGTCTAGTAATGTCACACAAAAGCTTGCAGCAGTGGCTAAAAACACAGATGTTTGTGGGACTGCAAATAGAAATATTTGCATAAATAAGTAAAGTCTGCTATATAACTTCCTGGACCCAGTGAGTGTAATTTGAATCTTTAAGCTCTGCTACAGGGTGACTGCTGGTATGACAAACTTGTGTTCATGGTCTAATATTCATTTCGGTCAATGAAAAGTAGCTAACAATAACTAACCCCCAGTCATTTTTGCATTTAGTTTTAGGATGTCATAGACTTTGATACATGGACTGGACTAAAATCACATAATTTTTACATGTGGTATCTGCATTTAAAAGATGTATTATTATTATTATTAATTATTATTATTATTTTCATATTTTTCAAAGCTACTCATTTTAAGTTTTAATATGTCACTAGTAAATACTACATGGAGCAAGACTACCCTTCTGGAACAGGCATTTTAAATGATGTTCATATTACTGTACATTATACTGATTCATGTCTGGTCTGAAATGTAAATGAGGCTTTGCTGTTTTTCAAAGGAACTATGTTTCAAAGAAACCACAAACCCAGAAATTATGGTGTAAATGGTTTGACTTTTAAATAAAGCAGAAACCACATTTTCTATTCCTCACCCTCATAGACTCATTCTCATTGATGACACGCCAGAAAGGTTGTTGATGTTGACATAATACTGAAATGTACTTTTTAGTTGTGCATGTCTTGCTGCACTCCATGCACCACGGTGATGATGGGAGAGGGTCACTGACGTAAAAAGCTGCTTGGAAAAAAGCAGGATTTGAAGTCCTCTAATCACCCATTCAGAAGCACACTTTATAGAAAGATGACTGCATATGTGTGATTGTGTGGTAATTATGCAAAGGTGGGGCGCATGTCACGAGCCCTGATTTCGAAGTTGGTGGAAAGGAAGGGGGAAGGGGCTGCGGCGGAGGGGTACAAAATGCGCGTTCAACTGAATTCATTGACAGCTCAGAGAAAACAATAATAATAATAAAAAAAACTCCAAGGGTAGGGCGTCACATGTGAAGTTATCCGTTTCAATAAGTAAACACGGGCTTTTAAGACTGCCCATATCCTTACAAGGCTCAGGGAGGAGATGGTTTGGCTCAGTAGTAGTTGAAGTGGACTAGTTTTCTTAGCGGAGGTGCGGAGTTTTTTATTCAGGACTGGTGTAAGGGAGGCTACTGAATGGGAGCAGTCAGTGGATTCGTGTGATACCAACGCAAGCCACCCAGACTACCTACTACTGCCCATCAGTTTGACTTTTTGGGCATTTAGGGCACACAAAGAAGAACACCACCTTTATCCTCTTGTTGTCCCCTTCCCCTTTCCTTCCTCGCGGACTCTTCAGGCAGAGAAACCCTCCAGAAATGGCTCAGATACTGCCGATACGATTTCAGGAGCATCTGCAGGTAAGCAGACATACAGAAAGCCCTAAATTTAATCCCAGCTCCTTTCTTTTTGCGCCACTCCTCGCCCTTGTGAGTCCGCACACATACAGCACATGTCGCATTTAAATGGAATCTGAAAAAGGGCTGCGGGGTGGTGCTCAATATAGCTACAGGCCTAGTTCTCTCCTGCCGGGCAGATGATGACTTGTAAAAATTGAACAGTCAGATCGTACACAGCCCCAATGCGGACCGGTACGTGTGTGTGTGTGTGTGTGTGTGTGTGTGTGTGTGTATTGGGGGATACGCCGCAGTTTTTCCCGTTTAAGTTATAAACGACGCTGTCATTTTCACTGCGGTGTTTTGACACTTTGTGACAACTGAGCTCAGCTGTTCGCGCTACGTTGTATCTGAGA